GGGAAAGAGGCTTTAGGCAGAAGGCTGACCCATGCCAAGAAGAATGAAACACTTGTAAAATAGACTACAACGTCATTTCTCCTTTCATTGCCACCAAGGTAAAATGAGAAAAAGGCACTTGTGTAGAAGAACAGGGCATCCCCTAGAACGCACGGCTGTACACCAAAACTCATCACAACTTCACGGAGGCAGGTCCGTGTTTCACGTCACCCGTGTGAAACACCTTCTGAGAACGGCACAGTGGGGACTGATCCGCAGCCTGCTGTAACCCATCAAACCCCTTCCGTTAGTTCCACTGAGTTCTGAGTCAGGCCTGAGGGTGGCAAAACAGGACACCCAAGGAATAAAGTCTAAGAGCGAAGAACAAGAAAGGAGCTGGGGTGGCAGCTGCTGTAATAAAATACAAATCCAGTATTTTACAAAACAGAATACTTGCAAGAAATATCTACTGTACATGGTAAAAAAAATTACTCGTAAGGCTACGTTAGTTTTTCCCTTATTTATCATTAGGAAAAAAAATTAAAAAGAGCTTTGATTTTTTTTTTTTTTTTTAATTGACTTCTGGTAAACCGTAGAGCAGCTATGAGCTAGCCTGCTGAATTACGGTTTTCACATTAAATCCATCCTCAACGGAGTTTGAGCATCCTTCTCTAGTGACCCACTCAAATTCCAGGGTAGGTCCGACTGTGCCACCCACCCCCAGGACAAACTGCGCAAGAAGCACAGTTTGGGCAAAGGCACGACCAGGGTACCAGGAAAAACCCTTGTAGGCAACAGCTACATGGGACAAAGAGGAAACAGAGCAGAGAGAAGCATACCTGACCACGATCAGACCTGAATACTGCTCTTAGCTTTCCCACTGAACTTGGGTCAGCCGCTTCACCTCCCTGTGTGTCCATCTCATCCCTCCTTTGCCTTGTCTGCTGCCCACCTACTTAATTCCCCAGGTCGGGGGCTGTCTTGCCATACAGTTAATACGGCATCCACCACCCCCAGGCCTGAAGTGTGCCGTGCTGGGGCTACCGACACCCCTTATCTTTTCGGCTAAGCAGCTGTTCTAAGATCACATCTCTGGAAAAGGAGGCAAGAGGAAGATAAGACTCATGGCTTTACTTAGGGCAATTCAAGTTTGGGGAGAAGGAATGGGTGTTCAGGGATATTTGTATGTCTGATTTCAGAGTTTGCCCAGACCGCTCACAGGGTCAGGGAAGCTCAATTCTCTTCATTGCAACTGCTTGAACAAAATTTTGCAAAGCTAATAAATACTATTTACAACAGTAACAGGAAGATGGCAAGGAAAGGAAAACACAGGACAATCTGAGACTGGGTCTACAGAAGAAATTCCATCAATGCATCTAGAAGCCAATAAATTAAATCCATATGGTCCTCTCAGGAGGCACTTCTGGTTTAAGCCTTACATTAATTTAGTTTGTTGGGAAGCAACTGAGTTAAGCTAAACAGATTAGCCTTAAACAGACTAAAGGACATCCATCCAAAACATTGCATAAATTTAACAAAACCTGCTTTATAAACAGATTTCGTTAACTAGTGTAACTCTCCCACACGGACAAAGTCTGACAAGACAGCAACTGATCTTTGCTTGAATTCCACAAGGGGGGAAGCAGCAGGGAAGCCCAGTAGGACTGCTTTCAACCCAGCGAGAAACCCTGGGGCTGGAGGGGAGAAGAGAGAAAGAGCTAGGGGAGGACAACTCAGCAGGATCATTGCCCACCCCTCTTCTGCCTGTGCTGCTAACTCGACAGTATCAGGGCCCATTCTCGTCCCTTCAGAAGCAGACTACACAACTTGCCTCTCACCTTCCCCAAAAGGTTCAAGTGCTGTAGACCAGTAGGCATGGAGCTGTGGCTGGATTCTGAGCAGCATTATGCTGCATCTCCTCTTTCTCTCAATTCCTTCTCCCAAGAAACCTATCACCCACACGCTCCCATCGGTTCTGCATATTCCACTCTTCTACAGAATGTCTTTGTGCTCAAATTAGGATGTGTGTGTGTGTGCACGCACACACCCCCACCAGTCACCGGCACGCTGCTGGCATCATCTGCATCACAATTCAATCCTGCCCTTGCAGTATCAGACAGGAAAGGAATAAAAGCAAAGACAGAGACTGTGTGTGAAGCGAGGAAGGGAGTTACAAAGACAAGAGATCCCATCTGCAGTCACAGCCTCACCAGTCAATGCAGAAGTTGAACTCCCTCTCTTTTGTGCTTTGGTTCACTGAGGATGACAAGTCAGGGGGACTTTGGTTGAAAGTTTGTGGGAAAGAGGGAAGTCAAGAAAAAAAGGCCTTTTTATTTTTAAGAGGTGGCATTGACTCTTCTGTCTATTTCAATTATCTTCAGTGTTTCATTTCCTTCTAGTTCGGAGTTGACTCTGCAGGGAACAAAAAAAGAAACACAAAATGAAGGTTAATGCCAATAGTCATTTTTAAAAGTGATTTTCATATCCTGCTTGAATTGGCTAACACTAAATACTCAGTAATTTACCAGTAACTCAGTATTTACCAGGTACTTGTCAGTTGGAAATTACTCATCTCTTTGGCTCTACGTGTAACTTGCACACGAGTGCTCAGAAGGCATGCTTGGGGTGATACAGCTCATCCCAGCCCTCAGAGCAGTGTGCTTCCAAACCAAATACCTCTCTCCACTGCCTGGTGTGCTTGCTACTGACTGCTAGAAGACACCAAGACCTGGGCCGACAGAACAGTGGCAGAACAAAAGGTAGAGTGGAAAGAAAACTGCACACACATATTTAAACCAGTGAATCTATCTTTGCAGCGGCCCCAAAAGCTTACATTTATGCTAAAAAAAAAAAAAAAAAAGATGAAGCAGCTCTGTGTAGTTCAGATAACTTTACAGGTCTGTCTCTTATCACTGAGTCCTGCACACTTTCCACAGTAATGCTTTAGCAAGATCACTGCTGCGAGAAGCTCCAGCTCTTCACACCCTAACCTCATAGAAAGCCCAGTGAGTCACAGCCTCACACTTCCAAACTGGCAAAAGCTTATTCCTCTAGGAGACACAAAAGTAAGCGCTTAAAGCAGTGGGTAGGCACAACTAACAGGCTTACAGAGGTTAGGTGTCTTGGCAGAAGCACTGAGTTTGGTAGCTGCATTACCACAATATTGTTGCAACCACTTCTCCAGAATAACAGTAACTTTGCCTGTAAGCTCCCCAGATAAAGGCCAAGCTCTTGGTTCATGTTTCACAGTGCCCAGCATAGCTGAGACCCTGGTCTTACCGCTGGCCTCCAGGCACACCTGACATTGACGCCGTATGACACGCAGCCCGCGCTGCACTCACCTGTGCTGCTGCAGGCCCAGCAGCACCGATTTCTCCAGCCTCGTCTCGTTGGCTATTGTGAACTGCATGATATCATCCTGCTGTGTCCCTGGCATGGCTTCCAGGGACAGCGCCATGTACTTGGAGGTGTCTGCTTGCCTGTCATTGCGATCTGCAAAGGAGATCGGGCTTGACGACTCCTCCAGTTGGTGAGGCTCTTCATAAATTAGCAGACTCCTTGACCTCACTGTGCACAAAGACAGAAGGCAGAAAAAGAGATGAGAAACAGGCAGCTCAGAGAACAGTCCTGGTCATTTCAGGAAATAGAAACTGTCAGAGCAGAACTAAAGCTGCAAAGGTCTTTTCTTTGCATAGTGATTAGCTAGTAATTTGATAGCTGAGGAGAGATACCACAGCAATGCTCCAGGTTGGGATCAAAAAGCTCTGAATTATTCACAAAACAAAACCAAAATGAAACAATCACTTTGATTATACAGGTTGGAAGCAACTGGTTCATTATGGGTATATAATACTAACAGTTTCCCACTCAGCCCTCGGACTCTTTGTTGACACTGGCAAAGAATGCACCAGCAGATATCAGTTGTGTGGTTTAACAGTACAAACACTTGCTACCGAGTAGAAATCTCGCTGCCTTTTACAGACCACTAGCTTCAGTTCAACAAACAGAAAGAAAACCGCTTTAAGCAGAAGTACCAAGCAGGCTAGTGGGAAAAGGCTTTGCCCCTGCCTATGAAGTCTTCTGCCATTAGAACAGCCAAGCTGTCCTTCAAAAGACACAGATATATCAAGGAATGGTCGGATAAGAAGCAGAAAAGCAAGAGGTGCTTGAGGAGAGGGTAAGGGATGGGGGTGAACAACAAGTGCCGGAGCACAACCAAGCAGTAAGCAAGACTGGGATAGTTGTCACTTACCAATGGAGTCTGTGTAGGACTCTGGCGAGGAATGCTGCCTGGGCAACACCATCTTTGTAGCAGAAGGATATGGCCCATAGCTCTGAGAGAAGCTGCCAAAAACTACTGCAAAGCACAGCACCACCATCTGGCAAAGGGAAGATGCAGAAGAGGTAAGTGCACTTGCTCCTGGCCCACACAAACACATCAAAACTAAGAATCAACACCAAGCAGATCTTATACTTTTTCAAAACAAACCATTTTCATGGCTATTTTCATCACTACGTACAGTATCTCTTAGCAAAGGCACATATACAGTAAGAATCCAGTGTTTTACAGGGCAGATTTCAAGGCGGGAGTTTGGGTTCAATGTCTGCCACCATTTTGGCCCACAGCCTTATTTAATCCCAAAGCTGAAAAGCAGACACAACCACCGTGTACGTTTTACAGATGCTCTTTGGAATTTCCAGTTATTTCTGCTGCTATCCCCAGTCTTGCTTTGAAGTGACAGAGAGGCTGGCAGACTAGAAGGACTTAGGCCTCGAAAATAATTTCCATCAATGAACTGTGCTAGTATAAGGGGAACTTGCTGACTGAGTGTAAGAAGGGAAAAGGGAGAGGTTTCATCCTGATCTTTTTCTTATCCTGACTAGTATTACTGAAATAGGCCAGTGGTAGGTTTACCGCCTTAGTCATACTGTTATTTGGATGAGCAAGATTGTTTTTACTGGTATCAAAAGAACTGGCCATCAAAGATCACCCTCATTTTCATTTTACAACTCTAGATGCCATTTTTCATATACAAGATTGTAGGAAATAATAAAACGGGTCACTCAAGAGGAGCAGTGCTCTTTCTTTCATCACTGCAGCATCCAATCAAAAGCATGGGCCCAGACTCCTCCAGAATTTAATGCCTTCCCACAACCATTAATCTTCATCAACGAGGAGTCTAACCTACCACAAAATTAATTGTCAAATTTTAAAGAGAAGTTTCCCAAGATGCAAATTTGCAAGTCAGGGCTTTGCAGAACAAGGGATGTGCCTTTGAACAGTGGAAAGAGATTCTCATTCCCCTAGAATTCCCAGCTTTAGGGACACTCACCATAAGACAGGTCCCTGTCTGTGTGCTAGCTGCCTTACACGAACGGGACACTTTCCCAGCAACCACGGCTTGGAGTCTCTGCAACTGCTGCAGAAGTGTTCTGGGAAGCAACGACAACAGACAAGCATCAAATGCACTGATCTACTTCCTGATTAAACAGCCAATTTGCTTCAAATTCCACTCTTGGCAGTAATACACCATTTATATCAAGGTGCAGATCCTTAAAGTCCTTGAAGTCAGTAGCAAGGAATGTTTTTAGTTTTACAAGATTTTTACATGTATTAGCACTGGACTGTTCCAAAAGATCTCTTGGCTTTCCCTGAAGTGATGTCCCTGAACAATTCCTTCTTCAGCACTTTCAGAAGGCTCTTATAAATAAAAACTGTTAATTTCAGCGTTGCTACAAGAAACAGTTCTGGTAAGCGTACAAACAACTGAAACTGCTCTACGTGCAAGTGACTAGATGCATATACAACCTGTTTCAGCAGGAGTTTCACCGTTATGTGAAAAGGTGCAGAAGCAAGTTTATAACTGCTTTCATTGGTGGCAGAGGTTTACAGCCACCTCCTTTTTCTGAAAACCTGCTGTACAGTGCTTTGGACCACATGCTGGACCAGTTTCAAAGAGAAGGTTTTAAAGCTAGGCATAGGCACAGAATTCACTTCTCATAAATTCATTTATTAAACAAAGGACTTCATTGCTATCTGCTAAACTCTCCAGGAGTTGACACAAATCACAGATTCTTGAGTAGCTACTCTGACTGTGCCTTTCAGAGGTCCCAAGCACAATGGCAATTCTGTTCTGGTTGGAGTCAACAGTCCCAGACCAGGAAGATATTCTGTCTTTCTAGCTGTTTTTATTTTTCTGTATCATTATCAATTACTACAATTAGGATACCAGTAATTTACATGGGAAATTATCTCAAAGAATGACCAATATAGGGTTTTCACAGCAGTTTTCATTTTGTTTTCATTAAAGCTTTTTAACAGACACTGAGTAACCCAATGCTTGCCCTCGACACAGTTAAATATAGTACAATTTTGCATGAGGATGTAAACTTTGCTGCTTGTTTCCAATTTTACTTCTCATTTCTCCTGAAAGTCTCACAACCTATTGCAGAGGGTAACCCCCACAAAATTCCAGGCAACAGCCTGCGAGCCTGTGACGTCAAATGCTAAAGCAAGAGGCAAGGTTAGGATGTCAGGGAAAATAGAAGGATTATTTTAAGATCAAACTGGCTAAAAGCTAATTGTAGGACAGACCCAGAGGTGCCTTCGCAGCTCAATATACACTTGTCTGCCTATTATCATAGATTTTTTTAATCATCAATGCTCATTGCTAATTAGGGTTTAATGAATTCAAGGACTTCAGGAATGCATTCTGAAATGAGCACAAGGCATGCTCACAGCCCAGATTTATCTGGGCCAGCAGATCCTTCTCAACTTATTAAGGAAGGATGTCTTGCATGCTCTTGAGAGCTTGGCTTATTCTGGAACTCAACATTTAAAAAAAGAAAGTGCTTTGTCTAATTCAGTCCTTTATTCATTATTAGAGAGACCACAGACAAATTAAGAGATAAAAACACTATCCATCACGTAAATGAGACCATCCTAATTCCCTGCTCTCTTCTGCACCTTCCTCCAATTCCTCCTCCCATCCCCTACATGGCATAGGGTTCACAAAGACTTGCATACATGGTGCATCACATTTTTCTGGCACAGAACGTGCTGTATACAGTGTTCCCACCATAAGCCACCAGCTACGCTAGACAGCAACGCCTGTTTAACCCTGCAATTTCTGTGCTATCATGGAAGACTGAATTCTCCCCCCGTTTCAGGCCGGAGTCACTGGGGTCGACACAGACCAGCTCTGCGGAGCGAGGCGGAAGGAGCTCTGGGGCTGGCAGCAGCAGCAGCCTTGAAATGCTGATCGCTCTTGCCACTTTTTGTGGAGGCGTCAGTGAGAAAACAGCTAATGGCTGGTGAGGAAATCAACAGAGAAGAGGCAAGTCTCCTCACTTTGCTCATCTCTGCCTTTTTGTGTCCAATTTAAAAAACTGCTGGGCCCAGAGAGCTGATTCCAAAACGCTCTCTTTTTGGAAAGTATAATTAGGCAGGTATTCTGAGGTCTCCTATGCACAGAGGAAGATTCATCACCCACCTTACTTACCAACTACAATGTCTTTCTCCCCCAAGCCATTTATCTGTTTGAGCAGAGCTACTGCCTCCTCAGCAGACAAGGACTCAGTGTTGGGAGCTGACAGGCTACAGGCGCATTTTCAAAGAGCAAGACACATGTTTGTTTATTCACAGATGATACCAGTTTAGCCTGCCACTGCCAAAACAGGGCACTCCTTGGTGCTTTTATTCTCTACTTCAATCTCTAATGGTGGAAGACATTGGCATTCCAAGGTCAAAAGATCTCTTTTCCTATGCAAAAGCTTCCTTCATTGTTACCGATGGTTGCAGGGATGATCTGGACTAAGAGAGGGAAAAGGAGCAGCTCTCTGCTCTGTGGAACAGAACTTAGGTTAACCTAATGAAGATGCCCCCTCTAAATAGCAGCAGGAAGGCCACAAAGGCTTTTAGTGAAACACACTGCCTATGGCTAAATCCTAACAGGAGAAAATGCAATCCCGAGGCAGCGTGCATAAGGGGGTTTGCACCCACAGGGATTATTTTCAGTCTGTCTGACACATCTCCCGGTGATATTCAATTAGAGGGTCACCTCCGTAGGAGGTGTGAACGTGCTTTCACGCTTTTCCCTGCCAATGGAAGCACCTCATAGGAAAGCTGCAAAGTGACTGAAGACTCCTGCTCTCTCTTCCACACACTGCCAGCAAATTCACTCTGCCTGTGATGTCTTGTTTTCGTGTGCACATTCATGTATTCATCGTCAGAAGAGTCCCATTCACCACCGAAAAAAGGAACAAGTCAAGGCTTCCCCTCTGCTTCCAGTAACACTGAATAAGGAGAGGAAATTTGTCATTCCAGGTCCTAGCCACCTGGGAGATTGCCTTAATTCAGTGTTTATGTTTAAAATCCAACATCGATTTAAACAAAAAAACCAGACATCATCTAGGAGACACCAAACACTGTTTATTTTGAACTAGATTTTTCAGAGAATTTATCTACTTTGTGAGGAACAAAACCTAATTTTGACAAGGAGAGAGAAAAATTGCTCTTCCAACTCTACACAGATTCCTTCTCTTCCTGTCCTATTTGTAGGAAAGAGAGCAAATCCCAAAGTAAGGTTTTCACCGAAAGACCAGAATACCTCAAAACAGGGGAAAAAAAAAAATCCACCATTTCTCATTTGATTTGTAAAGAAAAAAATCCATCATTTTTAAAATCAAAGATGTTTCAGCATAAAAACATTGTCCTGCTGCTTTGAAAACAAGGAGTTGCTGCAGTTGCTTTGTCAACTATTATAAGGGTGATCTGAAGCCAAGTGCAAGGTATCTCACTTGCAACTTAAATCCAGATCCTTCAATCCTTGAAAATTCCTTGGTAAAACGGCTTTACCAGCCTCAAACAAAGGAATAGCCAAGCAAATCAGTGAAGCCTGGCAGCTTTGGTGCTGATAAACCCTTGGTGTGTCAGACTGATATGCAACCTGTTCTTTAGATGACTGCTCAATAGCTTGATCAGGAGCATGAGATGTGGAAGAATATCCCAACTGCATCTGTAAAGCCACTGCTCTAAGGTGCCTGTCAGCGTGGAGATCTACACAACTTGCTAGTCATTACTGCAGGGCAGCAACTCTAGCAGCCACTTGGCATGCCCTCTCCACTTGTGACACTCTCAACCATCTGCTAATGAGATCCTGTCTATCATTTCTCCAGGAAAAGTGATCATCAATATGTTTATCAACCAAAGTGAAAAGCAAAACTACTTCTCATGTGCCACACACAGCACCAGAAGTTTCAATACTGTCTTTAAGCCCAAACAGCCATGGCTCCCAGCTAGACAATGCTGGTGTCAGAGACCATATTCAATCCCCTAGGTCATTTGCAGGGTCTCCCTCTGGTCCCAGTGCCAAAACGCTGAGCGGATGAAGCCTTCTTAGTGACCAGGACGAGTCAGTTCAAGTCTTGGTGCCAGCTTCTTCTCACACCCTTTGCTTTTTAAGACAGCAGTATCCCTGTGTTCAGATGCTCCTGAAACCAGCAAGAGCCTGGCTCACTTGTGGCTACAAGACATAACAGATATGCAGGCAATAATGTGCTTCCTTAGTTTTGAGAAAAGTGCCAATAAAGAAATTTGGATGGGTTTCTTTTAAGGGACTGAGTCACATAAATTAAGAGAGGAGACATATGCTACTGTTCTAATACTAAAGATGCCAAAAATGCAGCAGTCACCCACTCAGAGTAACAAGAATTAAAAACTCCCCTGCATCTTGATCCCCAGCCTCCTGCCTTGCCTTTTAAAATGCAAAAATATCAAGGGAGATGCTTCTGGATGCAAAGCTTTTAACCACACTTGCACCTTTTACATTACATCTTTTCAAATCCAGAATTTCAGGCTAAGGCAGGCTCTCAGGGAAGATTCTTCTAATTTTTTTCACGTTACTGAGCATAATGTAGGAACGTTTTTACCAGAAGTTGTTCTAGTGTTTTCATGGTCTGGAGCCAGATTTTGAAATGCAAGCAGGGTTTCCCTGAAGCCTGAGGTATGTATCTGTGCAAAGCGTGTTCTATATATAGAATAACGTGCTCTAAAAAGCTGGTTGCAGATACAGAAAGGAAACTCCGCTGTTCGATAGTTATATGTTTTGGAAACTGCCCTGTAGTTCTTCTCAACTCCAGCCACACTATAAAAAACATGATACTGACTGACAGCCTATACATGTGCACAAACTTTTTGGTAAAGAGCTACAGCCCAATTTTCCAACAAGGTAAAAACCCAACTTTGTCTTCATCCACACGGAATGCATGAACATTCTTACATGTAATCACAGTTCTTATCTTCCTGTTACCTTCCTTCTACTCTTAAAATTTTTCAAAACACAGCTCTAACGTTTGTAGATCTACTTTTAGATAAGATCTTCAATCACATCTTCATTTTTTATTGCACTAAACACTCAAAGTTGCAACGAAAGTCAACTGGGGCTCTGCTTTGGTCATATTAAGATACATGTGTGTATGACTGTGTGCTAGATACTTCGAGAAATAAAGTCCTGAACATTTAAATCTGGACATCCATGAATAAACTGACACTGCATAATTTTGACCACCACTGCTTTGAACTTTGATTCCTGACTGCAGATAGGAGATGGAAGTACCAGCCGTTGGATGCTGTGAAGACAAGCTCTGAAACATTCAAATGGTTTCTGGATGTCACATCAAGGCTCTGTGCAAATACCAATAAGGAAAACAGACATTTTGAATTCACTGTAGGAAGTGGATAATGGACATTAAATGAGGGCCTGGAACCATTCTCTGAATGAGATAGTTGCACAATTATGCACTAAATAAGAAAAGTGGCTCCTTGGGGCTAAGGTGAAAAAAATATAATGTGGTATCTTATATAATTCAGGCTTCATGAAAGCAGGCATTTTAAAAATTTCTCAGTACTTCAATACAAAGCCTGGACAGATTTTAGGTACAGTTTGTATCTAAATAGCCAAAACAGCCATTGCCATGATTTACAAGAATTTCTGTGCAGAGGGTCAGGAAAATCTGTTTCTCTGCAGGAGATTATGAATCAATACCAGTGCTATTGCGGAGGGAAGAAAACAATGCAACTCACCCCACACACCCCGAGTATGAAGGATTCTGAGATAATATCACTTTGCTCAACATTTTTACAGTATTTAGCATGACACAATTAGGACCATCAAATAATCGTGAGGATGCTGAAGGTCCTGTCTAAAAGGATGGACAATACCAACAAAGCTGTCCTCATGATCGCACCCTCACCAACTCCAAGATGGAAACAGCTGGCCAGCTCTAGCTGAACTGGGGAGAACAACTCTAGGCCTGACATGTCCCCGAGTGGTTCATCCACAACTGCACCTTTCCTTAAAGCAGCAGGCTTCAGCACCTCCTGGGAGAGAAAACCCTGCTCCACACCTACAGACCAATTCCTGTTTCTTTTATGTAAAAGCCTGGAGGAAGGTACAGGAGGCACAGAAATGGCTTGGCTCTCTTCAAACAAGCAGCAGATGTCTTTATGCATGAGCAGTGTGTGGGAGACTCTCCAGCAAATCACAGTGCTACAGGGTCTGGCTCCATGAAATTAGAGATTGGATCCGGAGATTAGAAACAACACATGCCACTCAATTAGCAATGCACTGGCTGCCAGACAAGCTCTAGGGCCATTTCCCATGATCGTGGGTCTTATCTTCAAAACCAGCCTCCTCCTACACTTCAGCGCTACCATCATGTTCAGCAGCGATATTCAACCATCCCCACAAACGCTTCTAGAAGGTGTTAACAGTGGGCTTATCCAGTACCTACTCACTGGAATTTGCCATCACCACGCTGAGCATAAGCCATGACTGACACTCCACTCTTAGCTAACATCCAAGTGAAAGCTCAGCTACGGAACGTTTTCTGCCACACGTCCTTTCAGCAAGCCACCGCTGAGTTACCTGTTTCTTCAGAAATTACAAAGTTGATTTCCCCCCTCCAAATGAAGGAAATTCTGGGGTGTGAGATGGTTAGAAGGGGGCACAGTAATTGCAAGGACACACAGTAGTCCAGAAGAAACTAATAACAACTCTTGAGCTTCAGCACTGTAATTTCCAGAAGTGTCATGCTCCAAGTCAAGGTCTTCTGTCAAAACAGTCTTTGACTAAATAAAGATGAAGAGTTAGGCTGTAGCTCTTGGTTTGTTACCTATCACTAACCACATTTCCTTGGGCAGTGGAAGAACTCAGAGTGCGAAAAGGTTTCTCAAGCACAGCACAGGTAAGGGAGACAGTTTAAGGACTGTCAAAGCCTCCATGCTTCACATCACACTGAAGTCACGATAACTGGCCTTCTTCATCTTTCTTTGACATTAACCAGATCAGCTACTGCTATTCTTCACATTTCAATTGATCTCCTAACTCCCAGATTTTCACTCTTCACTGGAATATCATGCTACAGTTTTGTTTTATTCCCTTCATACCTTACCTGTTGGTATTCTCCAGGACTTCAACCTTCTTACGCAGCTCACTATTTTCATTTGAACAAGTCTCAACTCTGGAGACAGCACAAGGAAAGAAAGAAGAATGTGAAAAATCAGTCATTTATTAAAGTTGCTTTCACAGAGAGCTCTATCATGCCTACATTTAATGAAAAGTTACACCAACGAACTTGTCATAATCTTTAATCATACTCCATGGTGTAAAAGACATTGCAAAAGATACTACCAGCTGTGGAGCAGCTGCTTACAGCGCTCAGCTACATTCCAGCAGGTGCAGTTCATTCAGAATGGGCTGTAACTACTTTCTGTCCCTTGAAATAGCAATAGCAAAGACCCTGCTCAGACCTTCTCTGTGCATCGGGACATGGGACAGAGACTTTAAAAGTCACAGAGCATGCTATATTTATGTTCTTAGCAAGTATTTTGAGCAAAGGTGTTCAACGTGTGCATTTCCCTGCTAGGAAGGGGCACCAAGCAATTTAGCAAATGCCATGCTTCCAAAATTAGATCCTCAAATTTCACATTTGGGGAGGTTAATAAGCCAGAAGGGTTAATTTCCAAGAGAGTGCTCATTTCCACACTGCCCCTGGAAATCCCCTAAACTGAAGTTGGTTATCATATGACATGCCACATAAGGGGTTCAAGTAAAAATATAGGACTCCTAAAAAGACAAACATGATCACCTGGAATAATATCAAGAAGCAAAAAGATAAAGGGAAACAGTTTTGATATCGGTATGTATATGGTGGAATTTCACAAGAGTAACTCTGAGAAAGCAAGACTCATCCATAAAGAGTTAAAAAGAAAAAAAGGAAATTACGTCAAGGATATCACCAAAGATGATACAAGGGGTTTAACAGATCCATCTGGTGAAGTGCATGAGAGAAATCATAGAATCACAGAATGGTTTGGGTTGGAAGGGACCTTAAAGACCATCTAGCTCCAACCCCCTGCCATGGGCAGGGACACCTTCCATTAGAAACATTACAATACTTGTCTGCTGGAGGAAAGATCAACTTGGGACACAAATCACTAGCTGAGGGTTTGGCTCCTCCTCATTAAAGGAAGTCAATGGATCACATGCTGTTTTCCCGAGTCCTGCTTATTTTCCCAGGCAGTCTTGACTCACCCACTTCCTATTTTTGTCTCCATCTGCACTAGAAGACAGAATATAGTCACTCTGAATCCATCTTTCCTTGGCCACTGCCTACCCACTAGGCCAACAGAGCTGCCTGAGGGGGAGACTGACAGCAGATGGGTCTGGCCTTATGTAGGGTTTAAAGTCTTTTGGGCACGTTAGCAATGCGCTGGAGAGGGACAGAGTGAGGAATGCAGCACCCCAGCACCCGTACAAGCAGAAGCCAGAAGAAGGGCCTTTTCTCAGTCACAACCACGAGAGGGCAGCTGGCACTCTGTGCAGGAACGGTCCCAGCATCAACAGCTGGATCCCAGCCCAGCAACTAGTGCAACCGCCTGAAACAGGAAGGAGGCTGGCTTACTTTTTTTCCAGACTGTCCATGTATTCTTTCTTTTTTCTTCTACTTTCCTGGGCAGAGATCTAAGGAAAAGGGAAGAAAAACACCAAATATTTGCATAGAGAGAGAAGAAAAAAAAAAAAAGGCATCAGAAATGAATTAATAAACTGGTAAAAAGCCCTGGCGTTATTAGATTCAAGCCTCCGTGTGTTCTCATTTCTCTTCTTGGTAAGCAAAACACTGACTTGGTCTGTTTCCACATCCTGAAGCAAGACTACTCCTCTCAGTAGCAGGAAAAAGATCATACCCTGCTCTTACAGAACTAACCTTAAAACGCGTATCAGATTCATCTGGAGAGAATATCCTGGGACAAATACTAAAAGATGATCCCAGGACAATGCCCTGCATCTGGGAGAGGAAAAGCCCGTGCGTGTGCCAGAAAGCAGCTTTGTAGAGAGAGACCTGCATGCCCCGATGAACAAGTCAGACACAAGTACACCCCGGCAGCAAAGGTGGCCAACTGGATCTGGGTCTACATTAGCACAACTGTAGCTGGCAGGTCAAGAGGAGTGGTTCTTCCCCCGCTCAGCTCCTGCAAGACCACAGTTGATTACAGCGTAGTCTGTGGCTCTGAAATAAATACTTTACATGTACAGAAGCAAGCCCAGAGAAGGACCACTGCTATAATAAGCATGCTAGAGCACACAACATATCAGGAAAGGCAGAGAAAGCTGGTTTTGTTCAGATTTAAGAAGAGAAGGCTAAGGAGACAATCCTCTTGCTGTCTTCAACTAGCTTGGGTAGCGAAGATGATGTCAGTCTTCTCGAGGCATACAGCAAAATAGCAAGAGGCAACAAATACAAGTTGCAACAAGGGAAATTCCAATTAGACATTAAGAATTATATTTATTTGTTTTTTCCATAAGAGTAGCCCAATATGGGAACAGGCTGCCCAGAGATGCTGGGGACTCATCACCCTTTGAGACAGTAAAATGTGACTGGACAAGTCCCTGAGCAACTTGCTCTAAGCTCACCCTGCTTTCAAAGCAAGGGGTGGGACCAAAGGACCTCCAGAGATCCCCTCCAAAATAAATGACTCCAACTATATCAAAGTGATACATTGAATGCACAAGGTTGCTTCCAAAAATTTTGAAAAAATATATTACAAGACCAAACTCCAGTTCAGTGTGGGCAAATTTACACCTCTATCTGCAAAACCAGCAACAGAATGCATTAACGTTCAAAGATGTGCTAATATCCTCTACAGTAAGTCAGCTGCCCAGGTCTGAAACAAAATGCTTTCCTCTCTATCACCAGGCTCTCCCCCATGCTGGAATAAAGAACACACTTATAAGGCATTTCCCAGCCTTGGTATCAACCATTCATTTAAAGGTCACAGAATTCAGTGATCAAAACACTAGGGCACTGGGCACTGAAATAGAGTCAGATTTTAAAACAGGAAACAGTGGAAAAGAACATCTTCATCACCACGGAAAGAATACAGAGGTCTTTGCCTACCATAAGGGTAGGATTGTACAGTTTTTGAAATGGAGCCAAGCAAGAGTAACTTGATACCCTGCTTGCTAAATACTCTATTGTTCAGGTGTTCAGGTAAATACCTAGACAGAGGCACACTGCAGCAGTGACAGACAATTTGATGGATGTGTTTAGGACCAAAGAAAACCACATTATTAAAAGACATCTTACAGCACTCAACAGTACCCCAGACCATGACTGCAAAATTGTTGCAGCATTTTTTTAAAACAAAATACGAGTAGGAATTAGCCAGCAAAGCTGACTAACATTTACCTTGTTCTTTATTTTCCTGCGGATTTTCTTCAGTACTTTCTCCTCTGCTTTTGTCAGGGGCAGTTTGGTAGGGATTGGGTACCCCTCTGCTATCAGCGTCCTCTTCTCCTCCTCTGTCAATATGAGTGGGCCAGTCCCCTGTAATTTCTGCAAGTGCCACAGAAATGAAATAATTTAACAAGAAGCGCACACAGCCCTAGAGAAAAGGGTGTGAGGGAAGAGAGGCAGCAGCTCTCCCACTTCAGAGAGGACTCTGCCTAATAACACAGCAGCCTCTCCTAACTGGGAATGCATGGAAGGGGAAGATCTTTTAGATAGCTTCCACTCAGAGACTGAACCTTTGGGACAGGATTCCCTCAAAACAGCTGTTCTCGGCCCAGCTCTGCACACACTCACAAGGCCAACAGTAAAACTTCCTTTAGCTCAAACAGGAAAAGAGACAAAATGAGAAGCACTACTGAAAATCCCTCCCTGAAGATCACCACTTGCTTTCGACACGACAAGAGGACAGATGCAGATCTGCCAGGGCCAGGTTAACCCAGCAGGTTAATCCACGGTGGGAGAAACCTAATAACACTGTTGAACCCTGTCTCAACTCAGAGGAGAAGGTTCACGCTGTTCTCTGTGGGAACAGAACAGACCAGAGAGCAAGAATTACTGGATCTGCAGTTTTGACCAGGGGCAGATTCATCTAAAGAACAACAGAAAGTTAGCAAATCCATGGAAAAACCAGTAATTAAAAGGAAAAAAAAAAAAAAGAAATAAAAAAAAGAGAGACAGATAGATAGATGCTTGAAAAAGCCAGCTCCACTTACGTGTGGTGCAGTCAGGAGAGGGGAATTGGAGAGCGCTGAAGCTGTGCGCGATGTCACTTTAGCTGTGGCTTGTAGCTGGATTGGGCTTGACGGGGGGAGCGATCTAGCTGGGCTCTGCCCTCCTTCAGAGTCACTGCCATGGCTGCTGGGAGGGGTTGGAGGCAAATGCAGGGGATCCACTGCTAAATGGCAAGAAAGACACATAACACAAGGTTTTGTGGTGCTCATTTAAATTTCCACTAGAGCTGCTGCCACCACCACCACTCAGTTTCCAAGACTAGGACTGTCTGCTAAAAAATGGATGGAGCAAAAATGGCAACTTGGAAGATTTTCAGAGCATGCAGGACTCCAAAAGAGGCATGAAATGCAGCAGCTCTCTTTAGGTTCAACAGATAACACAGGGTTCTGAGCATATGCTCCAGCCATTTCTACCTACACTTCAGCTTCTTCTCCAAATGCTTTGAGGTTTAAGCATAACCTTCCAGTACAAGTCCCCTGTCCCTGGGAAAACACATTCACAGGGGGGCTCTGAGCCAGCGTGCTTTCTCTTCAAAACCAATAGTATTTCCTAACTTTGCTGTGGATGGAACAAATTGCCAGTATTTTTCATCAGAAGGGATCATGTCCAAGGTGTTGTATGACCAGGGAGGAGAAAAATAATCTGCCTCCTAAGGACCTTGTTTGGCACAACTGGGAGGAAGTGACAATCTAGTGACAGCGAAGGCTCAATGTCCTGATGAAACAGAAGCAGCAGAGGCAACCACCACAGGAACCTCTCTCACACTGTGCTACCTGGGACCATAAGCTAACTTCCACTGCACTTGCAGCCAGAAGAACCTGTGCTGGAATTGGCAAGCACACTGCTGCTTACGACCAGATGGGTCTGGACCAAGAGAAACAGGGCAATGTCTCACCTACTCAGATTACATGGACAATTTAGCAGATGTCCAAACCAGTCATAACTAAGTCATTTTTCCTCTGAGATAAATTTATAGCAATGAAAACAGAGAGTAAGAAGATACAGGGCTGAATTTGCCACCTTCCACTTTTGTTACACTTTGCAAATTTGAGTTGAAAAGGTCAAATGGGTGGGTGGGGGAGGAGGGAAGAAAAACAGTAACCAAAAAGCGCTATTATACATGAGCTCTTTTTGCCAGCATCTTAACTCTAGTAGTTGCCAGAAGAAGATACACACTTGAAAAACAGCAAGGCCCTCAATCCCACGAAGTGAGCAATCGAATCTATGCCCTGGGTTGAGATATAGCCTCCCTTTTTCCACATCACTTCCTTCTCTCCATAGAGCAGTTCTATTTAACTACACAAATGAATTCACCAGCAGAATATCAAGTGTCCCCAACCAAGATGCAGTTATCTGCTCAGATTTCAGCCCAAATATTTGGCCCTTTCAAACTTTTCTTGGGTTAACATACTATGCGCCACGAAAATGTGTTTAACTTTCAGGGTAAGGATCATTCCCGTTCCTTCCTCATTTATAGATTAGTGCAAAGGGATTTTGGTGGCTCTTAAAAACTCTACTAAAACTAATAGGCTACAAAGAGATGCACCTAACTATTCATTTCATATGAACTCATATCCTTGCTTTTGTATCCTAGGTTAAAAGGGTAAAGTTTCCACTTATGCTCTTCATGCTTTCTGTGCCTTGGTTAAGTCCCCTCAAATTGATTTCCCCTCTAGCCTAAATAATCCTGTACTTTAAGGATTCAAGCTCCCTCCAGCAACTGTACAACTGTTGATACGCTACAGACAAAAAAGGGATCATTTTCTTTGTGATGAGCAGGGGTGGGGGTGGGAGTGGGGGGAGTAAGAAAACACACATAAACGGGTCAGAGAGAGGCTGGCTCTTCAGCAGCCTCAGTTGAATCCCTAGAAGGCAATAGCTTCAGCCTAAAGATTAACATGGCGAATGAGGAAGCCAAATATTTAATCTGGGTAAAGTACACTCATTGTGCATTCTGGTCATCTCCCCCTGCGTTCTGAGTTGGTAATTAACAGACCTTCCTTAGAAGAGAGGTTCAGGAACTGATCCACTTCATGGGGCTCCAGTTTAATCTCTGGAAGAACTTTCTGGCTCAGTGGTTTCATCTAGAAAAGAGAAATTAACAGCATAAAAACCCAAAGCACACATCTTAAAGGTCTTAATTGAAGGATACAAGGATGACTTCTCCATAAATGGAGAGGTTTCCCTCTCCTCGCTGCTACAGGCAAAACTTCAGCTGCTTCACACAGTTTGCTAAACCAGGCTACAGAGAATAGCTGCCCTCACTACACCCACTGTGGCTTTTTTTACTACTATATTTAGCTAAATAAAAGATTACGCCTCAGAGATGACATTTCAGACTGAAAGTTAGCATGCAACCCACTCAAATTACTTCTCTTAGCAACAGAGCTGCTGCTAGGATTTGCCGGACTGCACAGTCTGTTTGAGCAGAGACAGAAGCGCTCCTGGCAGTGGGGGAGAGCCTGCTCAAGACCATTGTCATCTGGGAGCAAGAGCAAGGTGCTGGTCACTGAGCACCACATTATCGGATCCGAGTTCATTTCCTGGTGCGGAGGAGCAGGAAAAGAGAGAGTTGTGGCTGACTGAAGTTTGGAAGACCTCTGGTTTACCCTGCTGATAGGGCTGGGGCACCAGGCTGCCAAGCTGTTGTCCAGAGTCTCCCTGAATGCTACAGGCTTGAGGAAATCAGTCTGGCACACCAGCATGCTCACTGCATCCAAAATCTCTCTCAGTAACCTGTGTAACTAATCTGTGCAACAGCAGTGAGCCACCAGCTACTCCCAACATACTCTCTGCAAATCCTGGCACCCCAGGCTACAGCAGGACTACGCACCGGGGACTGCACATTCAGACTAGAAGAGGATTATGGGTAACTTGTGTTTAGTTTTTTCAGTTTCTCATAAAATAATTTCCGTTGCACATATTTCTAATCCACATCCAAGTGGAAACATTTATTTTCAGCATACTCTAACTCCACCCGGCCTGGACTGCCACTGCACCCTGGGGACTGAGAACAGTCACTCTTCTTCCTCCACTGACAGGGGACTGGTGAGCCACCAACTGCTGCAGCTCATGCTCCTTAACCCAACCACAGCCAAACTAAGCCCTTGTGAATGCCCACTGGCTGCTCCAGCTGTGGGCAGAAAAGCATCACAAATGCTCTTTACCAGGCAGGTGGGTGTGGGAGCAGCAGCAGCTTGAAATGGCAAAGCTCCACACACTTGGCAAAAGTGACTTAGCAGGCAAACAGGGAAATTCTCCCGTCATTTCAAACAAGAGTTGTTGTTCTGATTAGGGGAAGGCACAGCAGCACGAAAGCCAATTATTATGAAAAACACTTAGCTTGTCACAGGCTTGATAGGGCAAATGGGTTGCTCAGTTCAGGTGGGACTGGTTCATTAGAAACTGTTTAAATATTTTTAAAAATGGATGAGCCCCAGGCTTTGGGGCTAGCACAGATGAGAAAGCTGTGCATCCAACCATGAAGACCTGAAGACGCAGGTAAGTGTTTTAAAACTCAAGACCTTACAGCAGTAGTGGGACACCAGCAAACGTTAAAATCCATACGGCAGACTGCAGCATGCACCCTGAATGGACAAGCTTTGGCATCAAGGAGGCTACACTGGTATGCAGAGTCTAAAGAGAACCTGTAGCTAGTTGTACGGAGAGGAGAACAGTAAGTCTGCATGTACCAGGGCATCCATCTGTAGCTCAGGTTGTTCCTCCAGTGACGTGGCCGTGACAGTGAGACTGACCGAGGGAGCAAGGCCTGATGTCTCACACAACGCTGGCTCAGTCTTTATTGCTGCTGGACTAAGCTCTGTAGCCAGACACCATTCCTCGTTTTCCAGGTCACCTGCCAGGGAAGGAAATTGGACACCACATGTTTAGGCCAGAGACAGAAAGACTACAAATGAAAATAATGTCATTCCTCCTCCAGAGAAGGGAAATAAACATAGAAAGCATTTCAGTCTAAGCAACAAACCTCTGCCCTCACTATTCAGCTCTCAGTCAGTGCAGACAACTGTGCCACCTCTGGGTCCTAACCTAATCCTAGCCCCAGGATACAGAGAGGTGCTGCGAAGAAAGACACGGAGCACTAATCACTGTACATTGCCGAAAGCTGCTAACCTGCAGCAGAACAAGACCCAACAAGCCACTGGGTAAAGCAGCCAGGGAGCCATGTCCTACACATGCTAATGCCTGCTGACTCCGTTTTATTCCTCCTTGTAGAGACGGCTTTTAGCCAGGCTTCTCCTTCTACTGCTTGCAAGCATCAAATAGCCAGAGCGATAATATTATAATTTTAAGAACAAAGGATTTTTCACACTTCTAACTGCAGAATTTTTATCCCCAAAGATTCATTTAGTAAGTATAAAAGGGGATAAAGGCTTTGATGATTTCACAGGAGCACCCGTGTCACAGTGATCATGCTAATCTCCTCCTCAGAGCCTCTGGAAGCCACAGCATGGGATGCACATTTTGACCGGCAGCAATGAAACGCGCATCACGTGCCGGCAGAACTGTCCCCTAGCCCCGCTTACTGCCAGCTCACTAAGCGGGAGAAAGCCATGCCACTTTTCCCTGAGCAGTGCTGAAAGGTTGGCCTTGCACTGTCGAGAACTGGAAGAGGGTTGGTGTGGCATGTTGGTAGCTTCTCATTTCCACTCGAGACAGCCACTGTTTGGCTTGCTGAAAAGCGACTTTCTCTCACTGGTCTAAAGTATGATAGAAGATCAAGAACTTGGAAGGATTCAACCTTTAAAACAATTCCACAAGGCTATTGACAACCCCATCAAAAAAGACCAAAATGAAATGCATTTTTGGCAGTTGCAATTCTGCCTTAAAAGAATTCTCATCCCTACTGCTTGAGCTCAGCCATGTACGTCCTTCCCGCTTGCAGGGGAGTACTCGACACCAGCTGTATGGCACCCCAACAGCGCACAGCGCAGTCCTCTGCCACAACTTGTCAGCAGCTGTGAAGAGCACCTCCATAAATCAAGTAGCTGGAATCTGAGGCCAAATATACATGAGAAAAAAGAGCGCTGATCTTTCTTCCAAAGCTTTCTCCTACCTTCATACAGGGTATTTACGGCATACACGGAAGTAAAGCAGGGAACAAGCACGTACGCAGTGCGGCTAATAGACAGCAAGAGAACTAACTGCATGCTGCGGCAGCACCGTGGGAGGCAGCCAGGGTGCCATGGCTGTGCCACCAGCAGCCCGCAAGGCTCACACAGGACCCTCACACATCTGAGCGTATCAAGCTGGTGAAGCGGGTGTCCGCAGAGCTCAGCTGCAAACAGGTAACAAAAAGAAGAAGGGGCCTACGGCCTCCCCGCTGCTGCCTGTCCCAGCGATTGAGACCACACACGCACACGGCACACAGGCGCTGGGCAGAGGCCGGGTGACTGGAAGAAGGGAGAAGTATGTACATCTCCAGTGCGAGTCATTACTTTGTGGTGGGACCTAACCTCCACCGCTGGCACGGAAGGAGGTAATTTGAGTAAAGACACACCAAGGAATTAAAAATGAAAAATACATATCCCGTAATCAGAAGCTCAGGAACAGTGAGTGCAGCTCTGCCAAGAGAAGCAACTGTACAGCAAGGGCGGAACACCCTATGTGAGTTTCTGGAGAGCTTAGTCGCAAAGCTTTCTGGGAAACGCAGGAATATAAAAATAGATGAAAAAAAAAAAAGAGGTAGCGCTGTCTAAATACTAATTCAGGAGAGAGGACATTGAGCTCCTTGAACCCTCCCTGCGCCTCTCTACTCCCAAACACGGGAGCGCAGTGCTCTCCCTGCTGACTGCAATGAAATAGTCAGCTTTACAGTGGTATCTTTGCCTGGAAACCCAGACTGCCCTGGCAAGTGCAACTTTCAAATGGTCGGTTGGGTAACTTCTGCCAAAACCTCCCCCACGTCATGTTGCGCAGAGCCTCCACCTGCAGCCTCTCGCACCTCGGGTCGAGCTGCACGGTGACCGTGCTATTGTCTGTAGTCTACTTTAGACTCCCTCTGGGAGGGAAGGCTGCGTCTAAATGAGTGCTATCAGTGAAACACGTAATTAGCCCTGAACTTTCTCAGATTTGTATCATCAGGCAAGTTAAAAGAAATCTAGCCATGGGTGCCCAGCGAAACAGGGCACGTCCTCTAAGGCTGCAATTTGTGATCTTTATCACCTCTAATCCCCAGACTCACCAGGAGGATGCAGCTCTGCTGTAAGACTACACGATACGCTGGCCTTCAGCCCATCATTTCACTCCTCCGGAACCTGACTTTGCTGATTAACCTGCCACCCCCACTTAGATCCGCGCAAGCTGCTCGGAGTTATTCTAGGCTTTAAAGCCAGTCTAACCAGTTTGCAGGGTTACGGGTGGTTTTCAGTGACAGCAACACGCTGCATTTAACACGGAGATAACTTTGAAGACCTGCATCTAACTCTTTTTTGACACTGCCTATTATGATGCATGGAGACAGCTGTCATTCCAGATGAACAACCCTGTGAAAGGAAGGGATGGAGCAACACACTGGTCGAATCCCACCTTAATACTCCCTTTTCCCCATTTGTTCCAATCCCCTGTTACGCATTCACAGTAATGGTCAGTGTTATGCAACACGTTTATTTCTTTTGACACATCCAGCTCCTGAAGTCACCAATGATGTCTCTCTCCTCTGTTTCAAGACAGCTCCAAGGGCATTTCCCATTGTCCTTTCTCCTCTTCCTGGGCACAGCGGGTTGACATCTGAAAATCATTCTTAGTTTTTTTCTTATAACAGCCCCTACTTCAGTCTACTCTGCCCAGCACTGAACTAGCTAAAGTGTCAGCCCTTGCCCAGTGCAAATGCTGCACAAAACCAGGCAGATTTAGGCAAATAGGGAGGAAAATTGAGGAGGCTACAGAATACTGCTCATACCTAGAGCCATGGCACACCCTCCAAGACAACAGTATTTCTTATGGAGGGGTGTGAAGAACCATGAGAGGTCTTACAGAATAATGAGAACAAGCAAGAAGGTGCAGGTGAAATACTGAAATGAAAAGGCAATGGATGCTGGCTCAAGGGACCCAGAGAAGGTATCTTCTCCAAACCGTGCAAGACATCCTGTGGAAAGATGACTGGTGTCAAGAAATTGAAGGGGAGTTATCTGTATTTATATTTGACATGATCCAGGAGCTTCACTTGAACTACTGAGTCCAAAACCAAAAGGCTGAGAAAATTATGTTGGTGACGATATTCCACATGGTTATGAATAGGGCAACACTGCACTGCTCATGTGAGACACTACACACTGCAAACCATTCAGATATAAAGAGAAGAAAGCCTGAACAAGACTTAGCTATTCAAACGGCCAGGAAAATCCATACCCTAAAAATGGTCACTTTGGCTGTTAGAAACCTCAGGCTTCGAAGTCCTGACTGTTGAACAAATGACACCAGCTGCTTTACCCCACGGAAACATCTGTGAACGTCAGAGCTCTGCCGTGCAGTGACGAGACGAGAAGCCCTCCTCTTCACCTACCCTTTCCTAAATCCATGAATGCTCGGCATTTTGGCACATGAATGTGTCATTTAAGGAGTCTACACAGTACTTCGCAAAACCCCAGCTAACGCTTCTGTGTGTGACGCACTAGCACTGTTAAATTCCACATATGGACGATGTTAACTAAACATTCATGTTGCAAAGCACCCAGGTATTAGGCAATACCTATGAAGGTTTAATTCAGTGTACTTTTGCATGTTATATACACCTAAAAACCAGGAATGTGTTAATAATGTGATTAAACAATTTCTCTGCAGAACCTGTGCCTTACCCAACGTGCAGAATGCATGGTTCTCCCCTAACTGAGAAGCTATACCACGTTTTGTTGTTCTCATTGTCTCATGCACAGCCTCATCTCTCCTTTACCAAATCCATTCAAATTCTGTTCCCACAGAGCTGGTTAATTCCCTCCTGGGGCACAATCAAAACACTTCACCAACCTGAATTGATTTCCATAGCGGTCCTGAAAATTCAAGTGAGCCACAGAGAGATTAAGGGCAAAAAGTATCCAGTAATTCAAAACGGCCAACTGGAGAGAACTGGAATTAGATTTTTCCGATGATTTGGCACAGTTCTTCTACTTTATCAAAACACAGTATGCACTGAGTTTTCAGGTATGGCCACTTCTGCAAGTTAAAACCTCAGAGTTTCAAATCAAGCATCCAAAAAACCCATTCATCACAGCAACAAAGGGTTTGTGACACATGCTTCTAAGGTTTTCTCTTCTGTGTCTAAGACTAAAATTACATTTCTTCAGAAAGTTTTTTTTTGTGCTGCTTTTGTCATCAAGCTTGCCCTACTTTTCCTGCAAACTCTTGTTTAGCATACATCTTCCATCTTCTTTTTAAAAAAAAAAAAAAAGAGGAGCCTTACAAAGAACCAAAGTTAAGTTAATCAGTGTACTGAGCAAAGTTCTCACTGATAAGAAAAACTCTAAACATGTCCTGTTCTTTCCCATCTGCATTCACTGGGAGTACAGCTTGATCCCAGATACAACATGCAATACATTGTAAGATGCTGTGTACGTGATAATGCAGGGGAGTAAGCTCAAAATGGGATGTAATTCCCTCAGTACTCTAAGTGTAAACACTGCACACCTACAGCAAGGTGTCCAGGTAGCAACCAAACTCCTCCTGTCCTCTGTCTTTATTTCAGAAGCCCTAATCCTGCCCCAGGTTCCATCATCTGCAGTTAAAACAGGCAACGCTAGTAGGATCTACTCAACATACCACAAGTGGACTTCCCCTTTTCACTTTCCCTTCTCCAGATCACTACACACAAAAGGGAAAAGGCTATGCAACATTTTGCACAAT